ATCACAAAACATCACGAGTCTCTAGTGATTTCATTCCAGAGAAACAAAGCTGTAAGAGAACTTCTCAGATATCCGCAGTACGGTACAAAAACATTATGCAGTATCAAATATTAATAAACAATGCATATATTTAATTTTTTGTCTTGATTTTTTGTTCTATAATAAATATAAAAGCATCTTCACATCAAAACATAGGAAAACAGCCCAAAATACCAAGATCTGACAACCAATGCTTTGTTCTTGCTGCCTTTGAAAAAATAGCAAGACAGAGAGTGTATGTACTTCACCAAGGAATTCATAATGGCTAACCCCAACCTTCTCACAAAATCTTAAAATGTTTTAGGTGGGGAAGAGAAGGGGATTTTTAAGAGCTTTAGGCAATCCTTACCCAGTGGCAATTAAAATTTGGAAATCTTACATTTTTGGACTACAGCTCCCAGATCATCTATCCATCATGACCATGCTTGGCTCAGACTTCTGGAGCTGCAGAATATATTTTAAAAACTATTTCCATGCTCTGCACAGTGAATCCCATTGAAGTAAAAAAATTAATTTGTTGCCTGTTTGTTAACAGAGGCTTAAAAACTGGAGAGTTCTATTTTTTTATTTGATTTCCACCCTGTTTCTAACATGGGATTCAGCTGGGATGCTGAAGTGGCTTGTTCTCTCTCTGTTTCCTCTTCTCACTCTGTGAAATGCAGGTTGTTCTTATTGCCCTTTTACATGGTAACTTATGGTTCTTTTCTGTCTTGACCCAAGAGAGATTTGTGTGGGTGTGTACTTCAGCAGTTAGAGCTGAATGCTAGAATTCAGATAGGGTGTCATCTTTGTTGTTTTTAAACCAGTGCCTTTTCTCTTACTTGTTGAAACATCCACTCCTCCCTAAGGATAATATTTTTTCTTTCTACACTGGCTGGTAAAAAGTTCAGCCTGTGAAAAGTAAAAAAAAAACAAAACCCACCCTGTTGCTAACATGGGATTCAGCTGGGATGCTGAAGTGGCTTGTTCTCTCTCTGTTTCCTCTTCTCACTCTGTGAAATGCAGGTTGTTCTTATTGCCCTTTTACATGGTAACTTATGGTTCTTTTCTGTCTTGACCCAAGAGAGATTTGTGTGGGTGTGTACTTCAGCAGTTAGGGCTGAATGCTAGAATTCAGATAGGGTGTCATCTTTGTTGTTTTTAAACCAGTGCCTTTTCTCTTACTTGTTGAAACATCCACTCCTCCCTAAGGATAATATTTTTTTCTTTCTTCACTGGCTGGTAAAAAGTTCAGCCTGTGCAAGGTCAAAGAAAACAGAACACCCCAGTTTTGAAAGACAGAGATATTTTAAGCACAAAGGATTCAAAGCTGCTTCTACCTGATCTCTGGTCCCAGAATTCAAGAACATTCTATACAGTAATTTCAGAACTACATCTCATTTATCACTTGGAAACATGTATAACTTTGAAGAATGTTCAAAGACAGTGTGGTGTAGCAGTCAGAATGTTAGGCTAAGATTTGGGAGCCGTGGGTTCAAATATTCACTTGACTATGAAATGTCCTGGGTGTCCTTTGGCCTTCATATCCTCTACGCTTAATGCTGTCATGATTGTTAAGAGGATAATGTGCGGGGGATGGAGCCATCTACACCGTTCATGGGATGAAAGATGGAATATAAATGTATTTAGCTATCTAATTGCTTAACTAAATTAATAAATAAATTATAGAACATAAGCCCTCCACTGGCCTTACTGTTCTCAATCACCAGAGCAACATAATGGCTGAAATCCTGCTGCTTGATGTAATAAGTTAGAACGAGAAAATAAATTATAGAACATAAGCCCTCCACTGGCCTTCGTTGTTGTTGTCGTCGTTTAGTTGTGTCCAACTCTTCGTGACCCCATGGACCAGAGCACGCCAGGCCCTCCTATCTTCTACTGCCTCCCGGAGTTGTGTCAAATTCATGTTGGTTGCTTCGCAGACACTGTCCAGCCATCTCATCCTCGGTCGTCCCCTTCTCCTCTTGCCACTGGCCTTACTGTTCTCAATCGTTCAGCCATGTTTGCTGCTGCCAACATCATATAAAGTTGCAAAGACTAACTACAACAGCATGGAGCTTTCCTGTGCGGATTTTATGGAACAAAAAAAATCTATCTGTAGATTTGGGCAGGTGAATTGGTTGGTTGGTTTACTGCCCTCTCACCCCACACGTGGAAATGATTCTTTTGGAATGTAGCTTCCTCATCTAAGATACATTTGCTTGAAGAGAAGAAAGGAAAAAATAATGTAGAACCAACAATGCAGCCTAAGGAATGACCAGCTGTCTTGTTGTTGGTGTTTCTGAGGAGAGACAGACCGTCCTTTCTGCTGTGGCTACTGGCTACTACTAGGACAACAAGGTCATCTTTCCCTGCCTATTTTTTTTCTGTAATCCACTCTGTGAAGCCCACCTAAAAAAGAAGAAAAATAGTGAAAGGTCTGGCAGGTTAAGAACTTTCATGTGGCATTTGCTTTCATGGCCTATAGCTCATTTCACCAGGTGCATGATGGGTTACAGTCCACCAAAGCTTAGACTAAATGAAATGTATAACAATATATTTAGATGAAATAAAAGGTTTCATGGAAATATTTGTTGGTTTTGTTGCAACAGATTAACATGTCTACCTTACTGAAAAAGCAGGATAGGCAGACCTTCCACACAAAATAATAATAATAATAAAAAACCCTGCTTATTGCACAACCCTTCATTGCCTTACCCCTCACAAGAGGCTCTCCAACAGTTTATGCAAGAACAAGAATAGCCTCTTTGAACTGCATGTTTTATTAACTCCATAAAGAAGCATTGCTCACTGGTTTCAACATCACCTAAATAATCACAAGCATAATTTGGGGTTATATTGAAGATAGTAAATGTTTATATGGATCAAATTCCAGTAAGTCGGCACATTGTAACCAAACTTGTTAAGCAGCTCAGGCACTAATGAAGAAAAGATCTTCAAATAGACAGAAAATAGCACAGATATATCAGTGGTAGATTCATATACCGAATTTCCAAAGAAACTTACTGAGTGCTATTAATTTACTGTGTCCGAAGACATAAATACAAACTTAAACTTAGAAATGTACTTTAAGCAGATAGTCTGGAAATGTGACCACACATTATTTTAAAAGCATTGTGTTACATTACAGTGGCCATGCACCTGACGTGACAAAGAACACTCCTATATATTTGAAAGCCTACGTTTGGTTTAAACATAAGGAAATATAGGGAGGGAAAACGGAGTTGCCTATCAGCAGTTAGCATCTAGAGAGCAGATTGGACAGGTGAACTGATTGGACTGGTAGTATTTCCAGCATTTATTTATTTCTGTTGCCAGCATTTGGACATTTCCAGATATTTGTGGCAAAAAAAAAAACCCTAGGAGACACAAACAGCTGTATGTAAGTTGTGGTGAGGTTCACACACCACCACCAGAATTCTTTCTGGCAGAACTACTTGCCCACCTCCAGCCCACAGAACATGGGGCGGGGGAGAAGAGAGAAAGAATCAGGAGACAGCTGTTATTAACCTTGGTAACAATACTACTGCAACAACAAGAAAAGGGAAAAGGAAATGTGGAGACGAGAGATCCTAATATTCTGAGATGAAGTTCTGACATAAAGACAAGAATACGGGCATTCCTCTGTGTACACACACATGGCGCCTTAGTACTGTAACTAATGACATTTTTTCCCAAAAGAACAAGGACCAAAATGTACATACAGCTCAGGCAAGATGCAGATACACCATAGGGAGGCCCTCACTTTGCAATCCAGCTCAAGTTTTTTAAAAAGTGCAGGAAGTGGTGGCAAAAGATTAATCACCTCATTCAGAAACCCTTCCAAGGGTCCTTAATCTTTCCCTCCCCTACATTTAAAAAAAGAGATATCTCTGTGCAACAAATAGTATGAGCAAAAAGCAAATGCACAAAAACTTCCCATCAACAACAGTAGCAATCTTGAAATCAATGGTTCCCAACCTTGGGTCCTCAGAGGTTCTTGAACTAAAATTCCCAGAAGTCTTCACCACTAGCTGTGCTGGCCAGGGTTTCTGATAGTTGTAGTCCAAGAACATCTGGGGACCCAAGGTTGGGAGACACTGCTCTAAATACTGCAGGTGAATATGCTTTGGAGAAAAGCACCTGGGAAAATGGCTGTGGAAAAGTAAACCACACTAAGCTTCATTTGTGCCTTTGACTTTTAATATTGGTTGCCCAAAATCTGATTTCTTCTTTCCTTTTTGAGGGAAGGCAAAAGAGGAGGAGTGAGAACTCAGCCTTGATTGTGGGAAGTTGCTATGGCAAGTATTAGCAGTTGTTGAGGGAACTCCTCCCATTCACTCCAGAGGCAGGATCATACGATCAGTTATCTTGCCTTGATGGAGGACACACCCTTGTATCATAGGATAGAAGTTGCTGTACTAAATATTTGAAGTAATTGGCTGTTCACAGCCCAAGGTTCAATCGTTTGGATTATGCAAACACATTCTGAGGCTTTGGAGCACAGAAGTGGGACCTTGGGCCTGCCAGATGTTGATGAGCTACAGTTCCTATCATCCCTCATGACTGACCATAGGATCATGAGAAATGGAACTCAAAAGTTGCCCCTCCCTGTTTCAGGCCATGTGGATATAAATATAGTCCCTCCATTTTCTGTGCAAGGGCTTAAAGGCATGATCTGACACATAAAAATCTAGTATTAGCTTTTAGACTCAAAAGTATACAGGCTGTTAGAGGTCATGCTAGCATGGGGAACCTTATAGTTACAGTCTTTTTTAAAAAAATATTTTTTATTTTGTTTACACAAAAGAAAAACAAAAACAATTCAAAGCAATAGTGCACCCCTCACCCCAGGGACCGTCTATTAATACAATACACAGACACAGACACACACACACATCAAATATACACAAAATATCAGATTTGTGCCTGAACTGTATGCCTCGGTATTCTACGTCCAACTGGCTAGGCCAGCTCCGGATGTAATCCCAAAGCTTTTCCTGTTAGTGAATGTTTTTATTTACTGTTGTACAAAGAAGTCAAATTACGTAACATTTCATATTATTCTATTGTTCAGAATCTGGATAACTAACTGAGCAGTGGCAAAAGAAACCTAGGACCCCAGATACACTTTGAAAGATAAGAAAATGCATAGCCAGAGCACATGTCAGACCATCACAATGAGACACCATTGTTTGTGAAACAAACAAAAACAAATAGGCAAGCAGCTGGTTGATCCGGATAAGTAAATAAGAAAGGCAAGGGTTTAAGGCTGAGAATGAACAATAGATCCGGAAGAAAGCACGCCATCCCCTTTGGCCAGACTTCCATTCAGGAAACTCAAGCTGTAATATAGCCATCCTGTATCCTGTCCTCTTTCGAAGGGCACTGATTCAGCTCCAGTTAATCTTGTTGCCCACATTTTTTCTGCACATGTTGCAAACTGCAGAGAGAAAATGTCCTTAAAGTTACGAATTCTGAAAGGAGACTAAGGAACTCCAAGGTTGGATATTGGGGTCCATTTAAATGATATGCAGACTCAAGCTGAAGGAGTTTCCATGCAAGCCTTCTATTGAGTAACTGGTCTGTTCCTTTCATAAGGTTTTACAGGGATGGGGGGTGTGTCTAACTGGTCTGTTCCTTTCATAAGGTTTTGCAGGGATGGGGGGGGGTTCTCCATTTGTTCCTGCTACTTCTTCCATATTTTCTTCTATTGAAGAAATGGATAGCAGTCCTTGCTCAAGGTTCTTTTTTGGGCCTGAACCTGGTAGCTCTGGCATTCAAAATGCATGCTCTACCCACTAGCTGCATCCCATATCCACTTGTTATGTCTTAATTTCCAACTTCACTTGTCTCATGCAAGTTTTACCCAGACATCTTTTACTGAGTCAGTTACTTCTAGTAACCTTAGTGATTTTAATGAAATATTGTATTGCTTTAGCATTGCTTTATCGCTTCATTAATAGTAAATTGTGTTTTCCATTCATTTTATTGCATTTTGTGTTTCTGACATTGCAACATGGTAACCACCTTTGGGAATTTTAGATGAACAGCGGTGCAGAAAAAAAATCCTTAATAAAATCAAACCAGGAAAATGAAGCAGATCCAGAATTAATATGGGCAGGAGCTCTTGTGCTTTTAATAATGTATTTTATTTTTAAATTTTCTATACTATTCCACTGCATGCTATACTATTCTGTACTCTTTTGCAAGGATCCCAAGGCAGTGCATGTAAGATGACTTTTTCAAAAAAGTACAATACAAAAACTAAATATCCACAGCAGGAGAATTAAGACCACTGGAACTGTTCAGCTAGCAAAAAACATTCAATCCAATTCTATTCAGATTGAATTAAATTTTTAAAAGCTGCTTGGGTAAACAAGAGCACTGTGATATGTGTTGAAGAATGAATATTGCTGAATGAAGCTTGTTTTTGAAGCTTTACAATGGGAATTTGGTAACATTTTGCATAATCACCTATTAAAAGCATTTCTTTTATGATTGTTGTATGTTCATGGCCAAACAGCCAGAAAAACCTACAACCACCATCCGATCCTCGCTGCGGAGGCCTTCGAGAACACATATATTTTATGCTTTTAATTTTGTTTATTAGAACACATATATTTTATGCTTTTAATTTTATTTATTGAATTTTATTTGTTTTCACTGCACGTTATGATATTTAATTTATGTTTCACTGCACTTTATGATATTTGATTTGTGTCCCAGTTGTATTGATATTGTATTATTTTGTGATTCTGTTATTTGTTTATCTGTTGTAAACTGCCCAGAGTGCCCATGGCTGCCAGATGAGATTTATCTGTTGCAAACTGCCCAGAGTGGCCATGGCTACCAGATGAGTGATATATAAATCAAATAAATAATAATAATTATCACTGAATAAATAAAAGGCAGAAAGTTATTACAGTACACTCACCTTCTGTGGCATGGAGACTATCCTTGCATTAAAAAAGAGAAAGCATGTGTGTGTATGTTAGCGGCTTCTCCTACTGTGAACATGGACTGGAAGATTTATAGTTATTTTCCCTACTGCCTTTTTGTCCCTACATGCAACCACAGAGAAGTTGCTAAATTGACTAGAAGTGATGTAGAGTGATGTAGAAGATTTATTTCCTTTCTCTGCCTCTCAGCTACTTTTTGCTCCACAGATGAAAAAAAAATACAGACATTCTAGCAGAAGTTCCCCCTCCCTCTGCTTGGGGAGAGACACAGTAGCTGCAAGGGACCTTTTAGAAGAGTGAGGTAACTGGGTCCAGAGAAATGGCACAGAGGGCACTAGCCACAGCTCTTAGGCGATGTAGAAGATTTATTTCCTTTCTCTGCCTCTCAGCTACTTTTTGCTCCACAGATGAAAAAAAAATACAGACATTCTAGCAGAAGTTCCCCCTCCCTCTGCTTGGGGAGAGACACAGTAGCTGCAAGGGACCTTTTAGAAGAGTGAGGTAACTGGGTCCAGAGAAATGGCACAGAGGGCACTAGCCACAGCTCTTAGGCTGTTTGCTAACTCAGCTGCAGCCCACCTGTGGCTGTTCTGAGACAACTGTGAGATCCGTCGCGAAGCTCCCCGGCACAGGTGTCCGTCAGTCCTTCCTTGCATGCCTGCTAGTTTTAATGAAGTCTTACTCTAATGAGTTTTTCTTGTCTCCCACATAGGAAACCCTGCAATCTTTCAGTGGAAATAATGTACTAGAGTGTTTTGACAGGAAGGAAGATGACTGCCTATATTCTCACCTCCGTTTGCAGAAAGTGGAGCAACACCATTGCTATTTCTGGATTTCCTTGCAGGAAGAAAAAGAGGGGGGAAGAATATAGACTCGGATTTTCTGAGTTAAGGAAAACAAAGTGATGGGAGCATAAAGCTCTGTGGATCATTGATGATCCACAGAGCTTTATGCTCCCTGTCATCCACACATCAGCAAAAATGGTGTCTCTGTGTGCATATATTCCTCCATGAAAATGTAGCATATTTGTACACAGACCTTGTTCTGCACAAACTAGCCACTTCACATGTCTTCTATTCGCTAGTTTTCCATTCACATAGCTTGGTTTTCCTTGGTGTCTGAAAAAAATAAATAAAAGCAGATAGGATTAGATTAAAATGGCTTGTGACATTCTTTCATGTGCTTTGAGAAACCCTAATAGTGCAGTAGAGCTCATGCTTATGAGACTGAAGCACTTGGACTTTTTGATTAGCAATGGGAATTATGTCATCTCCCACCTACCCTCCTCAGATTTCACCAGCTCCTCTGAGTTAAACTGCAGTTGAGATTGAAAGTTGGATTTCTCTACCAATTGCATATATATTTACGTATCCTTCTTGTGATGCAAATTATTTGAGGATAGTTTGGTCATGAATAGATAATTAAAAGCCATTAGCTTTATAAAACTCTTGCTAATAAAGATGAAAACTACTAGAACTGGGTGTGTGAACTTGGAGAATAAATCCCAAATATTGAGCTGGTTGGCCTTATGTTGTTTGGTGACATGTTGTGCTCTCCTAGTTCATTTTCCTTTTCAGGTCTTTCTATAAAAGTCCAAGATAGTAACCATTACACTGCCCTTTGTCAGTTCACTATTCTGTAAATATCAATTAATCCTTCTAAATTAGCTGGTTGCACACACATACATGGATCAATACACACACTGTACTCTCTTGAAGATATTATCCTTAATACAATTGCTTTTCCCAGCTAGAATAGTTCCTTTGAATCAATAGGATTTGCATAAGTGTTGATTCATCACTTAGCACATTGATGCAGTTCGTCTACTCTAGTAGGAACCATCTATTGATTTTAAGTCTTTAGCTACGGAGATAAGGATCTACATTTCAACACTCACTACTTTGTCACTGGGAAGCTATATATTTAATTAACACAAAACTAGAAACAATAACTATCTTGTCTTTCAATTATTGAAAGGAAATACCTGATACATTGTGCCAGAATATATAAATAATATATAAGCTAGACGACAAAGCAGGAATCAGGGCCTGAGTGGAGAAATTAAGGAAACAATTTCCACACCTTGCACCAATGTTATGTTATCACTGATTATACCCTCAGGTCTTTCTCCGTGTGAGCTGTGGCACTGTGTGACAAGATTCCCTTTGTTCAATAATGTTTTGAATTACAGTCCAGAGCATAATGTTCTCATTGTAACAACTAGGGATGAAATCAGCTTCTTTGCTCAATGGGCCAATCAAAGAAAAAGAAAAACACAGCATTCAAAGGGAAGCCTTGACCTGACTGAAAATGAGAAAGATCCAAACAAACGGAGCATTTCCAAAGTTTCTGCCTTAAATATACAGTGCAAGGAGGTAAACATTTCAGGGGGTGGAAACGAGAATTAGGGACCACATTACAAAAAAGCCCCCCACAAAAGTGAGACTGTTCATTCTTCTGGAGTCTCTATCAATATAAGCCTCATTTTTTTTTAATTTCTTATAGAAGTTACAGTTGTTGAGTTGATAACTTGAAAGCTGGCAATCATTATTTGCTTGATCAAATCTAAAATTATGTGACATTTCAAACAATCTGACAAAAATTACTGTGGGTATAGCAAGTTGGAACATGTTGAAAATCCATGCAGGAATGTTATTCACATTTGCAAACAGGGACATCTGACATTTCAGATTCTTGTGGAAACTACTAATTAGAAATGGCAGGAACCCCTGTTTGGAGGTTCAGGTGCCACACATTCACTTCCCTGCAAGGATCCCTTTATCCTTGGACATAACAGGCTACGTGTTATACTCTTTGGACCATCAGTGTCGCTGGGATGGCGTGAGGGTCTTAAGCCCACATTTACCCTTACAAGATTCTGCCAGCATTACTGATTTTCGCCCTGAGGAGTTCCCATAGGAAATTCTGAGGAAGAGCTCCTTTGAGAAAGTGTAGAAAATCTGAGAGAGAAAAGAAACAACAGTAAGATCAAGTTCATAAAAAGCAGGAACTGATATATACACTTGCAGCAGCCTCGTAAGGAATTTGCACATTGCACCTCTCACAGCTGTGGCTCATTCACGAAGCATTTTTTTGTTCAATTGCTTTTTTTAGTTTGTGATACACCAGACAATGAGAGCCTTCATTTAAAGAATGACAGCTTGTTTTGAGAACAGGATTGATTTAAGAATAGGACACATTCCATAATATGCAAGTTATCAGTCCCACAAACACAGAATAAAATTGTAGATAACGCAGCAATTTTTTTCTAGATTATATTGTACTTATCATAAATACTCCAATTCTTCAGAGGTATCTGCTCCCAGGAGATTCTGCCACAGAAAAATATACAGTGCAAATATTACTGTAGGAAACTGGGTGAAAATTGGAAGGATTGAGAATATTTGCTATGCATACTAACCACCAACATCACATATGATGCTGCATCCTTTACAGAACTGATATTCAAGTTGTTTCCAGAAAGCAATCTGAGTCTTTCTAAGCTGTTAAGCCATAAAGTATGATGAGTAAGTAGCAGTGAATGACAGAGAAAGGAAAGTGCAAGTCATAATTCAACAGAACTTCAAATAAAAAAAAAAATTCAGTGAGTACGGTTTCTAGCTATGGAGCCAGAGGTTGGGAGTTCCGATTCCCCACTGTGCATCTTAGAAGAGCCAGCCTGTGTAGCCTTGGACAAGCTGTACAGTCCCAGGATGCCCTCAAAAGAAAACAATCTGACACCATTTCTGACTACTCTTTACCTAGACAACCCTGAAACAGTTGCTATAAATCAGAATTGACTTGACAACAACACACAATTATCAAAGAAAAAAAATTACATGTCTGTTGCGGTAATTACTGTCTCCATGTGGCTGTTGTAAAAACTGTGGACAAGATAAAATGTAACAAACAATATTTTCACCAGTATAGTATGCTTTGTGCTCTCCCCCTCCCCCAACATGGAAAGGTGCACATTTGTATGAAGGTCAAAGTCTGTCCTGCTTTTCAGAGCGGTATTGGTCAAATCATTTGAAAATATCTAGAACTGTTTGCGCGGAAGCAATGCGGCTGGAGAAATATTGCCGCATTGCTTCCTCAGAATCTTAATGAACATTACCCAAAGTTAAGGTTTTTTTTAAAAGGTAGAAACTTGAAATCTTAATGAACATTACCAAAAGTTAAGGAATACTTGCTGTTATTTAGAAGTTTGAATTCAGTTTTTTGTTAATGTTTTTAAAGAAACTTGTTGAAATTTTAAAATCTGCAGATAATGTTTTGTAAGCCCATGAAACAGGACTATAGGACTCTGCAGCCATTATCAATTGGCCTAACTTTATGCTAACGTAGTAGCTGTATCCCTTCACTGGAGAACATTTTGATCTGGCATAACTCAGTTTCTCCATTGTGCCTACTTTTTTGGCTCTCCTGACAACCAATCTCAGCCAAAATAGTACTTATTTACTTAGATATCTATTGCTGAACACTGCAAACACATGGTTGTTGTGGGTTTTTTGGGCTCTTTGGCCGTGTTCTGAAGGTTGTTCTTCCTAATGTTTCGCCAGTCTCTGTGGCCGGCATCTTCAGAGGACTCTGTGCTCTGGTGTAGTTTTGCTTGGGAGCTGAGTATTTTTGGCTGCGAGATAGGCTTTTGTTCTGTTCAGGAGGTGGGTGATTAGTGTGTCTTGTTGTGGGTGTATTGTTGTGATAATGAGGAGAGATTATCTGTCACTGTGATTCATAGGTGTCATTAGCTGGTCTTAGTGATCCCCTGTCCTTGTGGCGGAGTAGAGTTTGTTGACCTTTTGCACGCTGTATTTTTCAGAGCTGGGAGCCAAGTTTTGTTGAGTTTCAAACTTCCCTCTTTTTTGTTGAAGTTCTGCTGGTGCTTGTGGATTTCAATGGCTTCCCTGCGCAATCTGACTTAAGGATTGCTGGTGTTGTCCAGTATTTCAGTATTTTGAAATAGAATTTCATGTCCAGCTTGTTTTAGGGCATGTTCAGCTACTGCAGATTTTTCTGGTTGTTTTAGTCTGCACTGTCTCTCATGTTCTTTGATTCTGGTGTGTATGCTTTGTTTTCTGATTCCAATATATACCTGGCCACAACTGCAAGGTGTCTGGTATACTCCTGCAGTGGTGAGGGTGTCCCGTCCTTTGCTGACCGTAACATTTGTTGTATTTTTGTGGTGGCCTTGAATACTGTTTGTAGGTTGTGTTTTTTCAAAAGTTTCCCCATGCAGTCCGTGACCCCTTTGATGTATGGCAGAAATACTTTATTTGTGGGTGGCTGTTTTTCTTCTTCAGTTTGGTGTTGTTTTCTTGGTTTGATGGCTCTTGTGATTTCATTTTTGGAGTAGCCATTTGCCTGTAGGGCCCAATTCAGATGGTTGAGTTCAGTGCTGAGAAACTGAGCTTCACAGTTCTGATTTAAGTCTCTTCCTGTTTACAGTTATATAGAGATTGGTATGAACTTTTTCCCCTTAATTCTCCTTCCTGGCCAATGACCCATTCACCAGTCAGAGTGTGATCCTCCTCCTCTGGCTGTCTCACCTCCTTGCCTGAGTGGGTGATCAGCCAAGGAAGCATGGCAGAGACGCCCATGCTTTTGCCAGGGACTGGCTGAACAGCAAAGAGGGAGAGGAGAAGGTGCCAGGGACTGGCTGAACAGCCAAAGAGGGAGAGGAGAAGAGCGCATACCAGCTGGTGAGTGGGGAAATCCAGCCAGGGAGGTGGGGGAAGGGAACGTATGGCGCTTATAAACCAACATGAACCTCTAAACCAAGGTTCATGCCCATCTCTACAGTTACATAACAGACAACATGAGAAGTTATAACAACAAAAATGCTACAATTTGTGCACCCAAGTCCTCAGCAGCAGGAGCAATATAGAACTTTCTGTAGAAATTCAAGTGTCCAACTAGCCGCTTCCTCAACTGGGTCAGGTATTCATAACACAGAAGAATCAGCTCCGCATGCAGTGTATTCAAAATTCTAGAATAACATATCAGTTCAATTGCATATACATGAATTCACTATGTGGATTCACCACTTCAACACAAACATATAGGAATTTTACCTAGACCACGTTGGCAAGGGCCTTGGCAGTCTAAGTAGCAACAGCTGCTCCAGCCTCTTCAGCTCTCCCACTGTTTTTAATTCAAATCTCTTATTCGCAACCCTTTGGAGTGCACCAATATTTCATAGGGGCTACACCAGCAGAAGGACATTTCTTCTAGCAGTAAGAAATTTCTGCAGCCAGAAGTTTCTGCCTGTACCAAACCCTCTACAGCCATAGTGACAGTCACTGGCAAACTGAATGAGGAAATAAATTTCCTAAGCTCATTATGAACCAACTGGAAAAAAAGAAAAGAAAATATTATGTGGTCAAAAATGTCTTCAAAAAGCAGAGCAACCCAAATGTTTTTCAAGAAATTTACCAGAAAAGAGAACCATTTACAGATATATAATAGCATAGATCTGCTTTAAAAAAAAGTCTGCAGCACAACCATTGGTGACTCATATTTCTTTCTAACTCAGATCAATCAATTGAAGAGACTTTCAGTGACTCATAAATATTTAGAAATTTTGGGTTTTCTTTTATTTGAAAAAGACAGAACAGCTATCCCCCATTTTCATAATTTGTTACTTTAATTCTAGGAAAAATCCAAAGTCGTAGCTATTCTATAGTATGACTACTGCTCAGTACATTTCTTTTTTTCAAAAGGTGTACTGTGTAAAGTTGTCTTGCATGTTCGTTGATCATTTTTATCAATTTATAAAAAGAAGTCTATTAGGCAACAAACAATTTACAAAACTGAGGACACAATCCTTAGCTTCAAGAAGGAAGCACTAGATACTGTGCTCCATACTCCACTCTATGTCCCCAGCCAAGCAGTCACAACAGAAGTTGCAGCTGTTTCAAGGAACGTGTGGGTGAAATTCACAGCAGCAGCAAAGAATGAGAGATATAAGATGCACTCCTTGATGCACAGAGAGAAAGGGTGTTATTAGGTAAGCATTTGTCCCTCTGTTTGGTTTGCTGCAGGGATGGTCTGGTTTGCTTATTTTCCCAGCAATCGGATGATGTAATTGTTAGAGTCAACCAGCCCATCTCCAGAGCATTTCTACTCACACATTTCTGGGTCCTTTTCAGGAGAATCTGTTTGTGTGAGTGGTTAGCATGACTTAATTTTGATCCATTTCCAGTGGCAACGTGCAATTGCTGGAAACAAACCAAAGTGGATCTTCCTGTCTTTAATTTGCCAGCTGGTTTCAACTTCTCTGTATTTTTAGTTGGCTTAAGAAGACAGCTTGGCTACTTCACCATACTGGGAAATAAAACACTTCTCCCTAGAGGGGCAGAGGAAGGAAGAAAAAAGTTTAAATAGTCTATTAGGATAATACTGTTGCTCTATACCACTTAGATTTTTTTATTTTAAATTGAAAACTTCCTCCTGAAAGCAGGAGGAGAGAGAAGGGGGGGAGGGTGTTTTTTGTTGTTTTTGCTGTCTTCAGCAAAAACTGAGATGGACCAGATAGGGTTGCTTGAGGTGCATGTGTCATTTGGACACAAGGAAATGGCATACTGGACCTCTAACTGATCTTTATTGTTTGCTACATGCTGTCAAGTCACCTCCAACATATTGCAACCCTATGAAAGAGAGATCTTCAAAATGTCCAGTCCTCGGCCACTCTGCTCAGCTTTTGCAGACTCAAGCCTGTGGCCTCTTTTGGGAAGTCAGCACATCTCATATTTGGTCTTTTTCCTTTCCTGCTGCCTTCAGCCTTTGCCAGCATTATTGTCTTTTCCAGAGAATCTTGCCTTCTCATGATGTGCCCAAAGTATGATGGCCTTAGTTTCATATATTTTGCCCCCAGAGATATTTCAGGTTTGAATTGTTCTAGAATCCACTTGTTCATCTTTCTGGCAGTCCATGGTATTCACAAAGTTCCCGTCCCAC